GCCTGCCCGCGCCGCTGCCCGTATCCCGGTGCTCGTATCCCGGTGCCTTACCGTGCCCATGCCGCCGCCGGGCCCGCTCCCGCCGCGCCGCCGGGGTCCGCAGAGGCGCCGCGCGCAGCCCGCTCCCGGTGCCCGTGCCAGGCCCGGTGCCGCCGCCGCTGCCGGTGCTGCCGAGTTAATGAAAGTTTGGAGGTCGGTGGGGGCTGGCGCCGCCTCTGCCCCGCGCTCCGCCCCCGCSGCGCCGCGCTCCGCTCCCGCACGCCCGGGCCCACCGAGCTCGCTCGGGCACGCACGCACACGCGTGCCCACGCGGGCGCCGCGCTCGCCTCTGCAGCCTCGGGCAGGCTCGCATGCAACTGTGCGCTCGTGCGTGCGTGAGGAGCACACACATGTGTGCACACACGGAGCACATGCGTGCACGCAGGGAGCACATGCGTACACACGATGAGCAGGTCTGTGCACATGCAAAAACACATGCAGGCAGGCACACACACGCACATGCAGTGAGCATGACGCACACGGAGGGCACATGCACACACAGGCTCCCAGGGAGCGTGCACACACATGCACAGGGCATCCGGCATCACAGCGAAGCTCACGGCACGTGTGAGCTCAGCACAGGGCACCCACAGGCCCCACAGCCACGGGCAGGCTGGCACCAGCACGAGAAAGCATGGACATGTGCACACCAAACACACTGGCACATGTAGGGGACACATGCAGACCCCCCACACACATTTTCACTCATGCAAGCACACCCGCAGGACACCCATGTGTAAATGTGCACCCTCGATCCCACACAGTGCCACAGCACAGAACCACAGAGCACATCGGGGAGAGGGACAGCCTGGGGGGCTCTGGTTCTGCTGGTTGCCATTAGGGCAGTTGTTGCACACATGCATGTACATGCAYGCGTACTGCATGTGTGTGTGTGTCAGTGGCTGTTGCTGCGGGTGATGTACCCATTCCTGTGTCCATCTGCAGATGGCTSTCACCATTTACACACAGATGCGTATGCATGTGTGTACATGGGTGTACATGGGTATGTGCACACTCATGACACTCATAAGCGCACATCTCTGTGTCCTTGCAAACATATGTGCATATATACATCCAATTGGAAACACAGACCACTGTGCATGTACATGCGAGCACACACATGTGCACGTACGCCCACRCTCGCACGCATGCACTCCGTGTGAACGTGCCTGGGGCATGGGGAGGTGTGCGTGGGGACCGTGCACACACATGTACGTGCCCGTGCACAGGCAGACAGGCACGCGCGCCGCCGGGGACCGGCGCACATGTGTGCCCAGGCATGTGCTATCTGCTGCATGCCTGTGTGCATGCGTGTGCACCACCCCCGCAGCCCCGCGCCGGCCCAGGCCCCACCAGATGTTTCCAGTAACRCAGCGGGACCCGCCTGGGGCCGCCCCCATCCTGGCCCCTCACCGAGGCCTCCCCTTCCCTCCCCTTCCCGCTCGAGCCCCCCACCCTGTCGCCCTGTGCCCCTTCCAGGGGCAGCATCCCTTACCCCGAGCTCCACGGGCCCTCGCAGCTCTCGGCGCTGGCCCCGCAGGCTGCCCGCCCAGGCGAGCAGCTCCTCGGCCCGGGCTGGCCCGGGCTCACAGACGGGTGCCCAGGCTGGCGCTCGCCGGGGCGCAGGGCTGCGCGGGGGGAACGCGTTCCAGCGCGCGCGCTCGCTCGCTGGTTTCGGTTTGCGAGTGCAGGAAAGCCAGAACACGGCACCCATAGCAGGAAGGGGAAGGCAGCCGCAGAGCCGACGGGTGCTCAGGTCCTCCCACACCCCTGCAGCACCCGCGCATGGCTGCTCCGTGCCGGAAACGCGGCAGCTCCTAGTGCTGGGGCATTTCCCTCCTCGTGCCTCACGAGCTCTCAGCCCATCCTGCACCCAAATCCAGCATCCAGCATCCGGCATCCCGCATCCTGCATCCCGCATCCTGCACCCTGCATCCTGCATCCTGCAATCAGCATCCCGCAGCAGGGACCAGGCACCAGGCTGCAGCTTGTACCTCCACCCCAGGGTCTGGGACTCACACGGGAGACATCCATCCTACCTGTGTGACACAGAGCCACAGGCTCGATCTGTAAGGAGTGGGTTTCCACGGGTGAAAACTTGTGCTGTCACTCCCCCACACATGGCTTTGTCCAAGTAGGGCTGGATCAAGAGCTCCTGTGTCCATCTTCTTCCTCCAGTCACCAAACCAAAGCCAGGGACAGGTGCTGGGGACAGAGCTGCTGTGGTGGGTGGTGCGGGGGTCACAGGGAGCAGAGGCCCTCAGCGCTGACCCTCGGGGCTCCTCGTGGCCTTCCTGCTCCTCACCTCTGTGCACCCGCAGACCTCTTGGCTTCTCCTGGGCACACGGACATGAGGACGGGGCTCGCAGCGCCCAGCTGGGTGGCGAGGTGATGCTGTGGGTGCTCTTGGAGGCACCCAGGCTGCCAGCACGCAGGGATGCAGGGGCCCCTCAGGTGACAAGCAGGATCCAAACCCTCTTCCYTGGTGTTTCTCCAAGAAAAGCAATGGTGTGTGGAGACAATGGACACCGAATGGCAAGCTCTTCCTCTGCATCAGCAGATGCCACTGCATCCCCACAGCTTTTGGAGCAGCCAATGCCCATGAATCCTGCTGGTGGCTATCACAGGCTGGGTGCCGATCTGGTGGGGCCAAGGTCTGCACCCCARTTCTGCAGCAGCCGGGTCAGCCTGGGAGGGGGCTTTACCCCCACTGCCCCTTCCCGAGACACCTCCCACTGCACCGTCGTCCTCGGGACAGCCAGGGTCACCACGTCCCACAGGGACCCATGAGGTGGCGGGGG